CCCATCAGCTCTCTTTACCCTTTTGGATTTATAGTCTATAATTAGCCCACAGATGAAGACCAACATTGACCGGTTGCACCGGGGGATTTGTTCATATTGTCACAGGACTCCAGACTAGTTTCTTTTCTCAGAATTCCTGAATCTGGCCATCAGAACGAGGCTCCAGATGTTTCATGTGTAGCAGCATTTTTAAGGTAGTCAGCATTAGGCTTCCTGCTGTGGCTGTGCACAAAGTCCTTCTTAAACTCCCTGAATGAAGCAGCTCCCGAACAATGCCCTTCCTGTTGACCTCTGACCCTCACCTGTTGCTAACTCACAGCCCCACCCTCCCATAGAAACCTGGATGTGTAGTAATTTTCACCTTCTTTTGGTAAAATGTGTAAACACATTTTCCATGTACGGATCTGGGTTTCAGGACTTTCTCCAACACATCAATTGTTAGTTTTAGCTCATATTTTTATTTTTTAAACACATTACATTAATTTAGATTTAATATCTACTGTTGTTAGTTTGTCCTTTATAAAGAAACAAACACTGAAAACATCCAGATTCAGGTCAGCTGCTGAACCCACAATCTAGACATGGACCATGCTGAATGGTTTGAAATACCATCTTAGATAAGTAAAGTGGCGATATACCTGTGAAAGCACCTGTAATACTGAAGCGTGTGGTAAGTATAAATTAGCTGTCTGTGGTCCTCGATCAGTTTTTAAAACAGTTTTTTTTTTTTAAAAAGTGACCAAAAAGTTTCAGATGTCAACCAAACACTTGCCTAAAATTGTTCAATCTGCCTGTAAGATCTTCTTACAGGCAGAAGGACCTCTGGACCTTTTGCAAGCTCATTAAAGTAAAACTACATGTGAAAAAAATATTTTAGTTCATTAAATATGAAAATAGACTTTTGAAATAATAACAAAAAGGGGAAATAGTTTGAACTCATTAAACTAAAGTAAAAATAAAATTTTCTCCTTTGCTAATTTAGTATTGCTGTTGTTACATGAGACGTGAATGTGACATTTGAGCTCTGAGGACTCACAGGTCACAACAGGAAACATCTGGAAGAGGTCCAGAGGTGCACATGAGACGACGCTGAAGAGCAAACTGATTAAATTTCAGTGGCATGAGGGTTTTTCCTGTAATTGGCTGCTTCCTGTAATCTTTTTGATCACTTCTCGTACCTGAACACCTCAAGCTTCTTTCCACCTGCAGCTGGTTGCACAAATATCGGCACTTCGGCCTCAAACGCTATATTTTCTCCCTGCGGTGAACGAACTGCTCCAGATCATCTCGTCTCTGGGAACACACAGACTCTGGTGTAGCAGGTGTTTGTGCCACCAGTTTCAGAAAATCCCGTTACCCAGCATGCTTCCTGACACCACACCGTAGACACATTCATCCACATGCT